CTAGACCTGGTGACTTGATAAACACACACCGTGTGTGTGTGTGTGTGTGTGTGTGTGTGTGTGTGTGTTTTCCCAAACTCCCAACAGGAGAATGGAGAAGAGATGGGAGCATGGCCATCCTTTAAGGGAGTGATGTCTCACTTTCCCTCTCTCTCCATCTATATCTGTCTCTCTCCATCAAGCACATAGACCCTAGGGAACCAGCAGTTAGCGTAATGGCTATGTCGCTGGACTCCCACGTAGTCGACCGCGGTTCATGTCCCGGTCCCAGTGGCTTAAAAAACTCACTCTGGGCGCGTGTGCATGCGTGTCCAAGATCCCGAGAGGAGAATGGAGGAGAAGGGATTGCGGCATGACCATCCCCCCTGGGGGGTGATTTCTCGCTTTCTGTCTCTATGTCTCTCTCTGTCTGTCTGGCGAGCGCAGGCGCCCTATAGTAAAAACCTCTAAAAAAAATTCCTAAAAGAGGCATGACCTATTTTCCCCAGGAGGTGTCAGTGTTTCTCTTAATACTAGTCATTTTGTGTTTGCTTCCTATTGGAGCTACCTAAAAAGAGGTGAAGCTGAAAATTGTATTCTTTTAGCAAATATTTTTCTTTTTTAATAATTATTTATTTTTATTTATTATTATTAAAAATTTTGCTATAGGGCACATGCACCCACCAGAGAGAGAGACAGAGAGAAAGTGAGAAAGCAGGCTGCCAGGTCTGGGACTCGAACTTCAGCCAGCCATGTGGGAGTTCAGTGCCCGGCATGAGTTTAAGCCATCAGGTCTGGGACTCGAACCCCTGTCGACTACCTGGGAGTCCAACAACATAGCTGTTACGCTAACTGCTGGTCCCATGAGTTGCTTATATTTAGCTGAGGCCAAGCAAAATTAAAGTCATGGATGTGAGGGAAACATACATTTAAAAAATATAATGAATATTAACATATAATTCATACTGTCCATTTTGGATGTGCATTAATTCCAGTCTAGTCTTTTTTTTTCTACAGTTTTGGTAATTTTTCAGGCACAGTGATTCTAGATGGCTTGGTTTCTGTAGTCGTTCATGTCTAGCAAAGGAAAAGTTCATTAGGAAATTTTGTTAGGATAGTCTATGTAGTAATTTTGGGCCAGAAGTATCTGTTGCTATAGGAAAGGCGCAAATTATCAGCACTGCTATCTAGGTTGTGAGCTAAGTAATTCTTCAGAGTTGTCTGTCTTTTTCATTGTTTTCCAGTGGGGTAAGTCGGGAAATGGAGAGGCCATACTTACCCAATTTCTAGTTATAGCCCAATTTTCTCATTCCATTTTTTCTCAAAAGGGCTCAGAGCTAAGCTTTGCTTTACTGTTTGATGTAATTCCTAAGTTTCCTACCCAGGAAGCTGTTGTGTTAAGTAAACTTTCTTTTCACTTAGTCCCTAAAGCACTACTTGATCCTTTTGCTAGGAAATAAATTCAGCTTTTTGGACTATTTCCACTATATAACCTTTAGGTACAAAAGTTCATCAGGAGAAGGACAAATAATCCACAGGAAGTATTTATAGGTGAGGAAAGAACAGTTTCCTTGGCCCTAGTTACGTTGTTCTGGTCTCTGAACCACATTCAGAGCTTCATTAGGAAACTGGCCAGCCTCGCTGCTTCCCGCCCCGTGCACCACACCAGCCTTAGTCTGTCAGGGTGCAGCACGGATGGATGTGATAGTTTTGAGTTCTCCACCCTGATGTGGAGGGGCCAGTAATGGTAGGCAGACAGCTTTCAACATGCAGATCAGAGTTGATCTAGCCTTAACGCATCACCTGGGACACTTCTTAAAAAACGATTTTCTGGGGCAACAGGTAGTGTAGTAGTTAAGGCATTGAACTCTCACATGGCTGACCATGGTTCATGTCCCAGACCTGGCAGCTTGAAAATCACACATGTGAGGTGCATGCCCAAAATCCCAGGACATGAATGGAGAAGGGACTGCAGCATGGTCATCCCCCCTTGGGGGTGATTTCTCACTTTCCCTCTCTGGCAAGCACACATGTCCTATGGAAAAAAAACTTAAAGGAACCGGCAGTTAGCGTAATGGCTATGTTGCTGGACTCCCACGTAGTCGACCGCAGTTCGCGTCCCGGACCCAGTGGCTTAAAACTCACGCCGGGCGCATGTGCGTGCGTGCCCAAGATCCCAAGAGGAGAATGGAGGAGAAGGGATTGCAGCGTGACCATCCCCCCTGGGGGGTGATTTCTCGCTTTCTGTCTCTATGTCTCTCTCTGTCTGTCTGGTGAGCGCACGCACCCTGTAGCGAAAACCTCTCCAAAAAATAAAAAACTTAAGAAAAAATGTTTGGGGCCAGCAACTGGCATGATGGTTAAAGGCTCTGGATTCCCACATGGCCAACCGTGGTTTGAGTCCCAGACCTGGTGGCTTGCTCTCTTGCTTTCCTTTTCTCTCTCTGTCTCTGTCTCTGGTCAAATTTTAAAAAATAATAATAACAGATGGAATTAAATAAATAATTCTTTTTTAAAAATTCTTTTTTCAGGACCAGCAGATACTGCGGCAGTACATCAGTGGACTCCCACATTGCCAACCATGGTTCCAGTTCTGAACCTGATGGCTTGAAAATCACGCCAGGGTGCATGGGCATGTGGACCCAAGATCCTTGGAGGAGAAGGGATTGTGGCATGACCATTTATCCCCTGGGGGGTGATTTCTCACTTTCCCTCTCATTGTCTCTGTCTCTCTCTTGCAAGCACATGCACCTTAAGGCAAAAACCTCTTAAAAAATAAAAGTTTTTCTGGAGAAATCACAAACCAGTGTATATTGAATCAGGTTCAGATATCTCTTTTCCCAAAAGAAGTTGCAATAACTCCTATTTCACTCCCCTGTTGCCCAAACTATTCTTGAGTTCTAGGTCCGTGAGAACCAAGGAGCAGAGAGGTATTGGGCCAACCAGTGGTGTGGTGGTTAAGGTGACTGTATCCCACACGGCTGACTGCATGGCTCAAGTCCCAGACCAGGCTTCATGAAAAACACACTGGGCATGTGTGTGCCTGGCCAAAAACTTGATAGGAGACTGGAGGAGAAGAGATGGTCATGTTCCCCGGGGGAATGCTTTCTCACTTTCCCTCTGTGTCTGTCTCAGGCAAGCATACAACCCTATAGCAAATTTTTAAAAAAGAAAAATAATTAGGTATTAACTATTGGGTCATCGGGAAAGTCATGACTTATTTTTCTATGCAAACATATGTCATGACTCTCACAACAGCCCAGTAAATCTAGAAAAATTTGGGCAATATAATGGGCAAACCAGAAGGGAGTCTAATTAAATACACTAGACGAAATAGTATCTTTCCTTCTTTCATACAATTCCTGAGTCTAACCACAGAACACCATTGCCTTCCTCATCCCTTCCACAAAATTCAATAACTCCCTTTCAAAAAATAGGCTCACAGGGGGCCAGACAGTGGCATCAACAGTAAAACACAGTGCTCTGTGAGGCAATCCCTCACAGAGGGGAAAGTTTATGGTCAAGGCTGGAGACCACCCGGAACACACCAGAAACACATGTGCCCATAATCTGGTCTGGCTGTGTTGGATCATGGCATCAAGACCCTGTCTCTCTTCCTCTTTGTCTCTCTGCCTGTCACCCCTAGGAGGTGATTTCTCACTTTCCTCCTAAGTATTTCTCTCTCTCGCTCTTTTTTATTTTTCCTCATTAAGCTTTGTTTTAATAGGTCTCAAAATTTTGTGACAAATTTTTGGTCAAATTGTTTTTCTTAAAAACCTCCTGGGGCCAGCAGTTAGCATAATGGCTATGTCGCTGGACTCCCATGTAGTCAACCATAGTTCGAGTCCCAGACCCGGTGGCTTAAACTCACGCAGGGCACATGTGCGTGCGTGCCCAAGATCCCGAGAGGAGAATGGAGGAGAAGGGATTCTGGTGTGGCCATCTCCTCTGGGGGTGATGTCTCTCTCTCTGTCTTTCTGGCGAGCACATGTGCCCTATAGCAAAAACCTCTCCAAAAAAAAAAAAAAACAAAAAACTCCTAACTACCACAGGGCCGGAAAGTGGCTTGGTGGTTAAGGGTACTGGACTCCTACATGGTCGACTGTGGAATGAGTCCCAGACCTGGCAACTTGCTTTCTCTCTTTCTCTCTCTCACTCTATCCCTCTCTGGTCAAATTGAAATAAATGAGTGAATAAATAAAGTTAAAATAAAATTTAAAAAACCCTTCTAACTATCTCTTTCTCTCTCTCCAGCGAGCACATGTGCCCTATGGCCAAAAAAATTTAAAGAAAAAAATATGTGCGTGTGCGCCCTTACACACACATACATGTAGTCACCAGAATGAAGAATGTTTGTAGTTTCCACTTTTGTTGGTGCTCATTGATATAATTCATGTTTGGTATCAGTTTGTGTATCTAGGTTATTTTGATTCTATAGCCCTAACCTTCTTAGAGAGAAAATAAAAATCTTTTTTTTTACATTTTTTTAGTTTTTTTTTGCCTTAGAGCACATGTGTTTGCTGGAGAGTGAGACAGAGACAGTGAGAAATAACCCACGGGGAGGAGGAGGGGTAAGAAATGGCCATGCCGCAGTCCCTTCTCCTGGGATTTTGAGCACACATACACAACTGCCTGGCATGAATTCGAAGCCACCAAATTCTGGGACTCAAACCACAGTCAGCCATGTGGGAGTCCAGCAATGCAACCGCTATGCCATCTGCTGGTCCCAGACTATAAAAATTTTTAAGTTTTTTTTTTTTCCTCCCCAATTTTGCCAGAGGACACATGTGTTTGCTAGAGAGAGACAGAGAAAGTGAGGAAGCTACCCCCCCAGGGGGTGTGGTCACACAGCAAACCCCTCCATTTCTCCAGTCCTTCAGGACTTTGGGCATGTGTGTACAGCTGTTCAGTGTGTTTTTCAAGCTTCTGGGTCCAGAACTTGTACTATGTGGGGTTGGCCATGTGGGTTCTAGCCACCTCAACCACCAGACCCTGGGTGCCTGAAACCAAAGGTTTTTTTTATTAGCTTGTATAGAGTTTATTTAATTGCATCTTTCTTTATCTTCATTTTTTCTGGTCCTCTGTACTCTTAGAGTAGAGAAGTGGGGTTAAATCTTAGGATGCAAAAAAGTCGTACTGCCCCAGCTCTCATGTGCTTCTATTTCTTGGAGTGGTAGAACTTAAAGAGAAAAGGGAGCTAAGGTGTCTTGCATATAGTGCTCTTTGAGTCTATATTATTTTGTTTCCTTTTTTATTCTACAGATAAGAGAGAGTCTACCAGTTTCCAGGAGATTAAGAGAATGAAAAGAATTTCTGAGTAATTAGATTGCTCATGAGAGAGAATGAAAACTTATGAGTGATCCCTGAAACTTCTTACTCAATATTTTCTAGGTATGTAGTTTAGTCCATTTGGTCCTAGTATAATCTTTTCTTTTTAATTGTTTGAGGGTGTGTGCACTTGCCAGAGAGAGAGAGAGAGAGAGGGGAAAAAGCACCCCACAATGGGACATGTTCTATCCCTTCTTCTTCATTTCTTCATCCTGTCAGGATTAGGGGAATGTGTACACACCTATCCAACATGTTTTTCGAGTCACCAGGGCCAGGATTCGAACTGTGGTAGGCCATGTGTGTTTTGGCTCCCTTAACTGTTAGGCTACCAGCTCGTCCACCTAGTATAACCTTTGAATATAACTAAGATGCTAGGTTTTTTTTTGGAATTGTTCACTTCTGACCTTCAAACTGGGTTATAATGGTACCCTGAGGGAGACATGCTAGGAGACAGTAGAGGAGTTAAATCATGATGGAACTAACATCTCTTGAGTGTTTCCCAAGTGCTTTAGATAGCCTTAAGAACTTTCCTAAGGGGTTTACATGCATTGCCTGTTTTCATTTTACTGCAATTTGGGGACATAGATTATTTATTTATTGTTTAGATTTTGCCATAGGGCACATGTGCTTACTGGAGAAAGACAGAGGGAAAATTTAAAAATCACCCTTTGGGGGGATGGCCATGCTTCAATCCCTTCTCTTTCATTCTCCTCTTAGCATTTTGGGCATGCATGCACATGTATCTGGCATGATTTTTGAGCTACTGGATCTGGGACTTGAACTATGGTCGGCCATGGGATTTCAGCACCTTAACCACCATACCACCTGCTAGCCCCTAGGAAGTAGATTATTCTTACTTATTCTATTCCATTTTATAGATTTTTTTAAAAAAGTAAGATTTAGATATAATGTGTGATCATTTTTCCACTGTCTTTCAGCTTGTGAGTGACAGGACTGAGCCAGAACCTAGGTCTGATTCTAGTGAAGTAGGTATATCTCCATTTTGCACATGAGTAGGTAAGAAATGTTAAGTAACTTGACCAAAAGTCACATAAATAGGAACTAACAATGATATCTGGATTTGAACTCAGATCTGCCTCTCTCTAAAACCTGTCATTTAACTATTTTAAATATTAAGATACTATTGAGCATTAAGAAATGCAGAAGGGTGGTATAAGCCATTAAGAATATTAGACTTGAGGTGCTGGCAGGTGGTGTGGTAGTTAAGGGTGCTGAACTCCCACGTGGCTGACTACAGTTTGAGACCTGGACCTGGTGGCTTGCTTTCTCACTTTCTCTCCCTCTCGCTGCTCCTCTCTGGTCAAATTAAAAGAAATAAATAAAGTTAAATAAAATAATTCTCTAAAAAATAATATTAGAATTGATCCAGCAATCTCACTCCTGGACATTTACCGAAAATATTTTTATTATAAATCAGTTTGTTAAAGAGAGATTTGCATTCCCAATTAATTGCAGCACTATTCAAAATAGCCAATTGTGGAATCAATATTTTTTAAAGAGTTATTTTTATTTAACTTTATTTATTTATTTACATGTAATTGTTGTACATCTTTACAACACAGGATTTTTTTTCTTTTTTAAAAAATTATTTATTTTTTATTAAAAAATAAAAAATATAGAGTGAGAAAACAAGCCACCAGGTCCAGGATTTGTGTTCAGTCATGTGGGAGTTCAGCACCCTTAACTACCACACCACTTGCTGACCTTCCCCCCATTTTTTTTAAATTGTGGAATTAATCTTAATATCCATCCACAGATAAATTAGTAAAGAAATGTGGTATATATACACAATGAAATTACTATTCAGCCTTACAAACAAAAAAGAAATATTGTCACTTGCAACAACATGGATAGAATTGGAGAACATTACGCTAAGTGAGGTAAAACTAGGATGGAAAGACAAATACCACATGTTGTCACTTACATGTATTAATAGAATCTAAAGCAGTTGGAAAATAGAAGCAGAGAATAGAATGGTGGTCATCAAAGCTAGGGTGCTGGAGGAACTGGGGAGATGATAGTCAAAGTATACAGAATCTGAGACAAGAAGAGTAAAATGTTACTGAGAGCAATTGTCCAGCATGGTAAATATAGCTAATAATTATTATTTATTTCAAAATTGCTAAGAGTAAATTTCAAATGTTCTCATCAAAAAATAGGTGTTTGTAGATATGTTAACTAGTTTGGTTTAGTTATTCTACATTGTATTCAGAATGTCACTTTGTATTCTATAAATATATATAATTATAAATTGTCAGTTCACAATAAAAATTTTAAAATTTAAAACCAAAAAAACAGTATAAGATATCATTTCAAGGGGTCAGCAGGTGGCGTGGTAGTTAAGGCACTGAACTCTCACATGGCTGACTGTGGTTCAAGTCCCAAACCTGGCAGCTTGCTTTCTCACTTTCTCTCTCTCTCCCCCCTCCTCTCTTTATCTCTCTCTGGTGAGTACACATGCCCTATAGCAAATTTAAAAATAATAATAAAAAATAAAAAATAAATAAATAATTTTTTTAAAAAGAAAAAACATCCTGGGAACCAGCAGTTAGTGTAATGGCTATGTCGCTGGACTCTCACGTAGTCGACCGCGGTTCGCGTCCCGGACCTGGTGGCTTAAAACTCACGCCGGGCACATGTGCGTGCGCACCCAAGATCCCGAGAGGAGAATGGAGGAGAAGGGGTTGCGGCGTGACCATCCCCCCTGGGGGGTGATTTCTCGCTTTCTGTCTCTATGCCTCCCTCTGTCTGTCTGGCGAGTGCACGCGCCCTATAGCGAAAACCTCTCAAAAAGAAAAAAAAAAAAACCTGTGTTGTAAAGATGTACAACAATTATGTGTAAATAAAAAATTATAAAACTGGAAAAAAATCATCAAGGATAGGTGCTGGCAGATGGCATAGTGGTTACATCAGTAAACTCCCACTTTGCCAACCATAGTTCAAGTCCCGGATCTGGCAGCCTGAAACTCACACTGGGTACATGTGCATGCATGCCCAAAATCCCAAGAAGAGAATGGAGGAAAAGAGATTGCAGCATGGCCATCCCCCTCTCCCCAAGGGTGATTTCTCACTTTTTGTCTCTCTGTCTCTGGTGAGCTCATGGACCCAAGAGCAAAAATCTCTCAAAAAAAATCGTCAAGGATAGATAAGATTGCATAATGTAATTAACAAGTTTCACTTAATCATAGGTCAGTAAAAGAAAAAAAAACCCTGTTGTTACTCTCTGTGTCTCCCTGTCTCTTTTGCTCATGGAATAGTTAAATAAATAAAGAAAGTATTGGAAGAAAAGAAAAAGAGGCCTGAAACCTTAGCCTAGTGGTTAAGGGGGCCAGATCCTACATGGCTGACCAAGCAGTTCGAGTACCAACCTGGTAGCTTGAGGAACATGCAGGATGTGTGTGTGTGCCCCAGATCTCTGTAGGATAGAGAGATAGAGAAGGGATTGTGGGGACCAACAGGTGGTATGGTGGTTAAGGTGCTAGACACCCCCACATGCCAACCATGATTCGAATCCCAGACCTGGTGACTTGCTTTCCCACTTTCCTTCTGTGTGTGTGTGTGTGTGTGTGTGTGTGTGTGTGTGTGTGTCTGGTCAAATTGAAATAAATGAATGAATGAAATTAAATAAATAATATTTTTTTAAAGAAAACAAGAGAGTCCAGATTGTGGGATGGCCGTGCTCCATGAGGGATGCATTCTCCTTCACCCTGCCTCTCTCTCTCCCCGTCTCTGGCCTGCATACACACCCCTGGTGATCAAAACATTAGGTTGACTACCCTGATGATTCAAGCCTTCAAGAAGTTTTTTGTACCATATTGTTCAGCTAAGAGAGGACGTCAGCTAAGGGCCTAAACAGTAGTGACAAATTGGCATATAATAAATAAGAATCTCTGAGGACAGAAAATGGACTTTTAAAAAAATATGGTATCTCCGAAAGATGACTTTATTTATTTATTTACTTACTGCATTTGGTGGCTGTGTTTCCAATCTCAGTTGCAATTCCCACATTGAGGCTGTTCCACCCTTCCTGTGTCCCTTGAGCTGAACAGGCACTTCCTGTCCTATTGGAAATGAAAGTTAGAGATGGGGGGTGGGGTGGGTGTGTGTGTATATTTACTCTGTGGAATGTTAGTACTGTCTGTACCATTATCACTGCAAAAAAGTGACAAGAAAACTAGAATAGAGATTGGAACTACATTTGAGGGAGGGCTTTGTTGTTGTGACAAAGCAGACAGGGTTAGTTTATGCCCTAAAAGAATGAATATTTGTGATGGCAGCAAGGTGGTTTGAAGACTTTTAGTCTACACCACTGTTTCACTTGGATTGGTATGGGTTACTAGGTATCACTCTGAAGTTTTTGGTTTCCTCCAAGTTTCTTTGCTGGTTAAGGCTACTCCTATAAGGACATTCCTTTGAAACTATTAGAGGTGAGTGCTGTTGCAACTGTGGTAGGCTCTTGACTCTTAACTTTATGTCCTTCTTTCCTAAGAATTTGGTATTTTTCTTCTCTTTGAAGTGTATGCTTTTTAAATAGCTTTGTTTTATTTTATTTTATTTTTAAACAGCTCAGAGACAACTTGGAGCAGACATTTCAACTCTGTAAACTTCAGTTCGGACGTAAATTCCAAGTTTGGTGAGTTATGGTAATGTTACTGAGTTTCAGCTTCGTGGATCTTAAGACTGGGGAATGAGAGAGGGGCTGTCAGTACCTTAGTGTGACCCAGGAGAACAGAGCTGAGGACCTGAAGCTGGTTATGCCCCATATGCTGTTTTGCTTGTCTGCTCTTGGTGTGCTCCTCTCTAGATCACTGCGGTGTGAAGGAGGGGAGCTCTGAGCGCCTTGCACGCTGTATGGCCGTGTAAGGTTTTCTTCACATGTTCTCTAGGTAGTGTCTCCGTAGCTGCTTCAAAACTAAGATTGAAATCTTTTTATAGTTGAGGTGTAAGCAAGAAAACAAACAAAAGCCAAACTCATTGTCTTTCAGACAGTGACTCAGAACCTGTTTGTAGAGGAGAGAGGTTAAATTCCAGAGGAGTTAGAACTAAGAACTCTTCTTTCTGGCTTTAACTCCTGAGTTTATGAAAAACAAAACAAAACAAAAAAATAACATTTTGGGCATTAGGACCCAGTGGAAGTGCCTCATTCAGACTCTGGGTTAACTTCTCTCAGTGACGTAAAGGAGCAGCCCTAGCTCATTCTCTACCCGCAGCCCCCCCCAGCTCTCTTTCTCTAGCTCCCTTTCTCCCCTTTTCTCCTCCCCCTCCCTTCCTCTTTTCTCCCCCCCTCCCTCTGTCCCTCCCTCCCTCTCTT